TTTTGTATTTTTAGTAGAGACGAGCTTTATCCATGTTGGTCAGGCTAGTCTCGAATTCCCAACCTCAGGTGATCTGCCCACCTCGGCCTCCCCAAGTGCTGGGATTACAGGCTCACGCCACTGCACCTGGCTAGATTGACACTTTTTTACAAAGACGGTGAGGCTGTAAATAGATGGGGGCGTTCTGGAGGGCAATCTGGCAGAATCTGTTATGCCTGTTAACTGGTAACCCAGCCAATTCCTCTCTTGAAATCGACCTGAGACAAATCCTGGCATAGGAGTACTAAGAAGCAATTGACAGGTGTTCACTATAGCAGTATCTGCAGTAAGACTAAATGGAAATAACTGTCATCAATAGGGTAATAATTAAACTATGGCAGTTACACTATCACTTAAAGTTAATAAAGTAGATCAATATGTAATCTTTCCACAGTCATACAAGGATCAACTAAGTATTTAAAAAACCTAATTGCATGATATATGTAAACAAAATAAATCAAAACTAAGCCTTATTTCTAAGGTAAATTTATATGTATAAAAATAAACAGATTTAAGTTCGGCACGGTGGCTCATGCTTGTTATCCCAACACTTTGGGAGGCAGAGGTAGGCGGATCACAAGGTCCAGAGTTCAAGACCAGCCTGACCAACATAGTGAAACCCCGTCTCTACTAAAAATACAAAAATTAGCCAGGCATGGTGGCGTGCACCTGTAATCCCAGCTACTCAGGAGGCTGAGGCAGGAGAATCACTGGAACCCGGGAGGCAGAGGTTGAGGTGAGCCGAGATTGCACCACTGCACTCCAGCCTGGGCAACAAGAGGAAGACTCCGTCTCAAAAACGATAAAAATAAATAACAGATTTGTATCCACTGAAGGACAAGAAGAAAATAAATAAATAAACAATCTTCTAAAATAAGGATAAACAGAGGGCCAGACACAGTGGCTCACACCTATAGTTCCAGCTACTTGGGAGGCTGAGGCAGGAGGATCACTTGAGCCCAGGAGGTTGAGGTCACAGTGTGTTATGATTGCAGCACTGCACTCGAGCCTGGGCGATACAGACCTCATCCCTAAAAAAATTAAATTAATCAAAAAATAAACAGAAAGGCAACAGAAAAATGCCCCCACCGAAGAATTACAGTGGTTACCAAGGAGATGGAACTGGGATTTGGGGGCAGGGAAGGAAGCTTTCACTTTTTGAGTATTACGTGGGTTTGAACGTGTTGGTGTTAGTTCATAAGTGAAAATATATTCCTCTGGGGAGTGAGGGAAGGATGAGGAGGAAGCCTTTCACCTTTCACAGTTATGTCCCCCTCAACCTTAGTGTCCTCTGCATCCCTGTTCAGTGTGGTCAAACAACTGCTATTTCCTGCCAGGACAAGATCCACCCTCCCAGCACAGACACAAGGTTAAACACAGCATCGGTAGCTAGCACTCTGAAATGGAAAGATGCGATAACAACTCCAGCCAGTTGCCTTTCATCATCATCCTTCCTTATCTTAGTTATCCCCTGCAGCCCTGGCTGGAGACACAAAGCTGACTCCCAGTGCCCTTCCCGGGGAGAACAGAGGGACAGCTCCATCAGCAAGCTCTCTGCTTCTCCTTCTGTTTTCCAACAAAGGGGCCCTGAAACTTAAGTCACTGGAAAAAACCTCTCCAGTCGCCATCCCACATGCTGTCCGTCAATATGACACTGTAAAAAGTAAAGTAGAGATTCCTCTTCAAAGACTTTCCTCCCCGTCTAATTGGGAATAGTAACTTCTCCTAGAAGCAAAATTTATCCAAAGACCCGTGCTAACATTCTTAAATATCTGCTAGCTGTAATAAAAAAAATCAATATACTTTATGTTCTAAGCTCCCACAATTTAGCCTAAATATTTGCCCTGGCATGCTTATACAGGTCCAAGTAAGCATTAGGTTATAGCCTGTTCCTCTTCATTATTTAAAAGTGTTTTTACCTTTCTTAAGCGTTCCACAAGTTACTTCCTTCTTCCTTTGTTCCCCTCTACCTTTGCCTCTTTTAAAAAGTTCTAAGTTGCTAGCCAGTCGGGACAAATACGGAATGTAAGGTACGGCTCCAGCCCATGGAAACCGGACACAGCAGCAGGGTGGGTCCGTCAGGTTATAAATGACCCTGTCTTCTTTGTTTGGTGTACTCTCGTGGCAAAACTGCTGGTGAGTGTACCCTTTCTGCAGTAAAAATGGCCTTGCTAAAATAAATTAAATTAATGTTCAAGTGCTACTTCTTTATGGCACCAAGGAACAAACATTTCAAACAACACAAAAGCAAAATTAGAGTTCAAGACCTTAGTTTCCTTTGTCACTGGATGCTGCATAATTAAACTATCATCTGAGACTTTCACCAGATTTACTAATTAAATTGATCAGAGAGTATGGACTATCCAGATGAATTCCTCTTACTAATTTTATATAATGGGCCTGGGTTGTTAATTAATTTAACTTCAGAGACAAGGATAAAACATATATGATTGGTTTAAGCTACACCAGGGAGTCGATCAGGCAGATCTGGCGGCAGCTGCTCAAATCAGAAACTCACACTCCAGAGATGGATGGCCATTATTAAGGCAGGAAGTCACATTCCAGAAGTAATACAGTAGCTCTTCTGTTATCCATACCTCTGGAAAATTTATAATTCAAATACTGGGCACCAAAAATAGTTTTATTGGTAAAATCAGTGGTGTGTTCATCAGAATAATCCCTGTTAGAAAGGGGCTCTCATTGGTGAAATTAGTGACTGTCCACCTATGCAAATTTGCATAAAATATTTTACAGATACACCCCACATTTGCATGAACAGATTAGAGGAATCTAACGAGACTGTTCTTCAGGGATAGTGTTTGATACTTCAGTCTGGATGCATAAACCAGCGCCACCATCCAGCTACCGGTTGTGAGTATTTATTTATTTTTGAGACAGAGTCTTGCTCTGTAGCTCAGGCTGGAGTGCAGTGGTGTGATCTGGGCTTACTGCAACCTCCACCTTCCGGGTTCAAGAGATTCTCCTGCCTCAGTCTCAAGAGTAGCTGGGACTACAGGTACGCACCACTACGCCTAATTTTTGTATTTTTAGTAGAGACAGGGTTTCACCATATTAGCCAGGCTGGTCTGGAAATCCCGACCTCAAGTGATTTGCCTGCCTCAGCCTCCCAAAGTGCTGGGACTACATGCGTGAGCCACCAAGCCTGGCCTGATTGTGAGGATTTCTGATTGATTGGGATGAACTATAAGCATGACAAATCCTGTACCTGTGCTTCAAGTAAGCTTTTCATAAAAGGAGGGGTCAGAGTACCTACAAAATGCAAGAGCTAAGCTTTCAGGACAGGACGCACCATCTGTTTTGTGCCTGCTTGCTAATAAATACACATTTAATAAATGACTGCTGAGTGGCAGACTTTTTCATCTGAGGCCAGCTTTTATTATAACTTGGTAGCAGTGTTGTGCGGGAGCAGCTAAACTCCATCTACCTCAAGTCTTTTTGGTTGTGACTGTAACCTGTCAAAAAGTCCTACGGGGTACGACCAGATTGGCTCAGGTCAGTTTCCAGCAGTATGGTACGAAGAATTAGATTACATATGGTATCACTAACATGCCCTAAAACATTTGGATCATGGTCAAGAAAGTCAGGCTCCTGACCCAGAGAAGAGAAGGCACAGAGGAATAAAAAGCATTCACTTTCAGCAGACAGACATTCTTCTAGGATCATAAGCCAAGAACTCTGATAGGTTACATTCTAATTTTTCCATCTAAATAAGCATTTCAAAGGGGAAAAAAGATAAGCAAGTGTCTATATCATTTCAAATTTCTTGGCAGTTAATAAAACAGACTTTATTTTATTTATTTATTGCGACAGAGTCCCACTTTGTTGTCCAGGGTGCAGTGCAGTGGCACAATCTTGGCTTACTGCAACCTCTGCCTCCCAGGTTCAAGCAATTCTCCTGCCTCAGTCTCCCAAGTAGCTGGGATTACAGGTGCGTGCTGCAATGCCTTGCTAATTTTTTTGTCTTTTTAGTAGAGACAGTGTTTCACCATGTTGGTCAGGCTGGTCTCGAACTCCTGACCTCAGGTGATCCACCTGCCTTGGCCTCCCAAAGTGCTGGGATTACAGGCATGAGCCACCACGCCCAGCCAAAACTTACTTCAGTGTGTATTTTGAATATATAATTGCTTTATCAGAAGCAAAATATTATTCATAATATTTTATCTCCAATGATATTTCAAATCCTTCTTAACATTATTTAGGACATTCACCATTCTAGGCCACTCAACATAGTAAGTAATTCTTTCTTTAGAAAACGACTTCTCAGAGAGATTTAAAAAGCATTATCATGCCAATTGCACTATTGTTTTTTTAAAGAAAATGGTGCAGAAGGGATTAAGGCACTTTTTTTTTTTTAACTTTAAGTTCTGGGATACATGTGCAGAACGTGCAGGTTTGTTACATAGGTATACATGTGCCATGGTGGTTTGCTGCACCCATCAACCCGTCATGTAGGTTTTTAAGCCCCACATGCATTAGGTATCTGTCCTAATGCTCTCCCTCTCCTTGCCCCCGACCCCCGCGACAGGCACCAGTGAGTGATGTTCCCCTCCCTGTGTTCCTGTGTTCTCATTGTAAGGTACATATTAAAGTTTTTAAAATGGGAACCAGAGCAAAAGTTTTGAATACATTTCACTAAAGCAGATATAGGAATGGCCTATAAGCCCATGAAAAAAAAGCATTCAACATCAGGGAAATGCAAATTAAAACCACAATGAAATACCACTTCACACCCATTAAAATGGCTAAAATTAGAATGACACCACCAATTGTTGGAGCAGATGTAGCACAATCAGAACTCACACACTGCTAATGGGAAAGTAAACCGGTATGAAGACACTGGCAAAATTGAGCAGTTTCTTACAAAGTTACTCAGGCTTTCCCTACGACCCAGACATTCTACTCCTAAGTATATACCTAAGGCAGATTAGTATGTGTGTCGACAAAAAGATTTGCAGATGAGTATTTGTAGCAGTTTTATAAAAGCTAAAAACTGAAAGCAACCCAAATGTACATCAATAAGACAATGGAGAGACCGCATATACTCATGCAAGGGAACACCGCTCCGCAGTAACAAAGGAGTGAGGTACTGACACACAGAACACGCTGTGTCCCTGAAACGCTATGCTCAGCAAAAGGAGACAGACACAAGAGTTTATGTTTTATGATTCCATATGCATCAAGTTCAAGAGCAGGTAAAACTAAGCGATAGTGGCAGAAATCAGACAGCAGATGCTCGGGGTAGGGGGATGACAGGAAACACCCAGGGAACTTTAGTGTAGTTGTTCACTTGCTAAAATTCAAACCACACATAAATCCATGCATTTTACTGTATGCAAATTACACTTGATTTTTTTTAAAAGCTGGGGTGGGAGGAGGGAAGGCCACCCAAAAACTCTTAACTGAAACAGATCCATGAAAAGGCTACAGAATTAATGAAGTATTCTGTAAAGGATATAATTGAGAATGATCTTGACCTTAGCATCTGTTAGAGACTGCTGACAGTACATGACACTGCAACTTTAAAAGACCTAGCAGAAAAGATAAGTGTGGTTAAGCAGAAAAATTCTTTCAAAGATTCTTGAAATAGTATTTGTATCCTTCTTCAGTCTGCAAAAGACGGTTCACTTAAATAATTTTATTTTACAGACAGGGTCACCTGTCACCCAGGATGTCGTGCAGTAGTACAATCACAACCCACTGCAGCCCTGACCTCCTGGACTCAGGTGATCCTCCCACCTCAGCCTTCTGTGTAGCTGGGACCACAGGTGTGCACCACCACACTCAGCTCATTTTTAAAATTTTTTTTGTAGAGATAGGGTCTTGCCATGTTGCCCAGGATGGGCTCAAGCAAGCTTATGGCCTCAGCCTCCCAAAGTGCTGGGATTATAGGTCTGAGCCACCATGCCCAGCCCATATTTTGAAATTTTTTAAAGGTAGCTCTTCAGGTCCTAAAATTGTCACAAAGGAAAATTCATGGAAATAGGGCCTAAATTATCTTTAATAGATTATCTGCCATTCTCTATATTCTATCAACCCCGTTACTTTAAAAATAAAAATAAAAATAAACCGGATTTAAAATGAGAAAACAGGCCAGGCGCAGTGGCTCACGCCTGTAATCCCAGCACTTTGGGAGGCTGAAGTGGGCAGATCACTTTCAAGACCAGCCTGGCCAACTCGGCGAAACCCTGTCTCTACTAAAAATACAAAAATTAACCGGGCGTGGTGGCGCGTGCCTGTAATCCCAGCTACTCAGGAGGCTGAGGCAGGAGAATCGCTTGAACCCAGGAAGCGGAGGCTGCAGTGAGACGAGATTGTACCACTGCACTCTAGCCTAAGCAACAGAGTGAGACTCCGTCTCAAAAAAAAGAGAGAAAACAGTGACTAGGCCAAGCTCTTTCACCACCTAGATCACCATCCAAAAGAACTTTCTGCAAGAGGGGAAAAGTCTCTACCTGCTCTGTCCAGTACAGGAGCCACTGCCACATGTGGGTAGTGGTCACTGCAACGGGCAGCACAGACGGAGGAAATACACCCAGCAGTTTCTCATCTGTAGCCTCTGACAAGGGGGATCCTGACAGCCAAAAGGCCTCCATGGAGGCAAGGAGCAAATAGTGTTCCTTCTGCCTCGAGGGCCTTTGCTGCCAAGAGCCTTGATCCCAGCACCAGGCATCAGAGCACCCCCGGGCAGATACGCTTGGCCCTGTACTGCTGAGTTCACACCAGGCACTCAGCTGACGCCTGTTTCATAAACGAGTGAATATGAGCACAGAGGCAGGGCTCCGTGGAGTACATCTTAGTCTAGGCACTTTACACATGTGATCTCCTTCACCTTTCACCAGTCTGATGATCTAGGTCTGAGCACCCTAATGTTACGAATGGGAGAGGCAGCACCAAGGGAGAGTAAGTAGCCTGCACAGGGCTTGTGACCACAGAGTGATATATGAACATAGGTAGCCAATGTATTCCGAACCAACAAATATGAAGGAGCACATGTATCAACAATTGCCCCAGAGCAATTTCTTTAAAGGGCACCAGCTCCCCACCCCACCCCCACAATTACTCATTATTATATCATAGTGTTATTTCAAGGAAAAGCCTACGGAAAAATAAGTGACTCAGGTAAGTGACTTCCAGACTGCCTACTTTATACGATATGGCTTTTAAGATTTAATTTTTTCTTTTCCAGAAAGGAAAACCAGAAAAACCCTGAAACTCACATCATAGAAAGGTTCACTTCCCTTCAAAGCTTTGCTTCTTGTGGGGGCTGCCATACTACAAAAGAAACACTCTGGGGGTCCTGGGGAAGGGGCAGGAGGCAGCAGAACTGTGTGGAAACGCAGGAGAAGGAGTGGGCTGTTCACTGGAAGCCCCCTATAAACCCACGCAGGGCTTTCAGCAAAGGAGTGTGCTGCCTTTACTTCCAAGCCAGCTTTTACAACAACACATTTGCACAGCAGTAACATTCAGCTCCCTGCAGCAGCCCACTGCAGTGCACAGCCTGTCAGCAGCTCCACCGGAAGCCAAAGGATTTTAAGAGAAATTTCCTTATACTTTGATGTTCAGGGCAAAAAGCTCACTAAGTTTCCCAAATTGACATTAAAATTTTGAGTTAGTTTTATCCAGAATGGGAAATGTACTTAAATGTATAGGGCTTTTCTTGTTGTTTCTGAGATAGGGCTCATCCTGTCACCCAGGCTGGAGTGCAGTGGCATAATCAAGGCTCACTGCAGCCTCCACCTCCTGGGCTCACGCGATGCTCCCGCCTGAGCCTCCCAAGTCCCTGGGACCACAGGGACACACCACCACACCCGGCTAAGTTTTGTATTTTTGGCTAAGAC